GAGAGAAACTAAGAATTCAAGCTGAGCCAATAATAGAGAATTCAACAAGAGTAACATTAATTGACCAAGAAGATAATAATATTGAAGAGTTAATACCAAAATTGGGGCAGCCTTTATTTAAGGAATTGTCAGATATCCTGACCGACAGTTTATCTCATGGGTGTTTGCGAATAGGGTGGTTCAGCATACCATAGATTTCATTTAAGAGTTGGTTCCTCCAATCAGACTTCCTTATTTGACCCGCTCAACCAAGTAAGCAAATTACACATTTAATAGCTCAAGACTTGGCTCATGAGAATACCCGCCTATATGCAATTTCAACTCTGATTGTGCCAAAAAAAGAATGTCTACTTATTCTATCAAGATAGCCTTTAAAATGATGTATGCTTTTTAAAGTTGCATGGAATGTACATGAGCATAGATTTTATAGTAGATTTGCCTCAGACACAGCAAGACAATGGTTTTATTATGATGGTGTTAGAACAATTCAAGAAACCCCTAGACACCAGAGAAAAAGACGAAGCCTCTCCCAACTAAGGAGAATGATGTGGGAGCATCCCACACAGGATCCATGAATCTCATTTCTGCAAGACGTCACATTCTTGTGGGTTACGCCGATCACGCGAACTTGATCGTGAGAATTTTTGTGATTCTTGGATTCCGTAAATAGAATAGATCCAGCGTGATTATGTCTGACAAAAATATCAATACCGCAAACGCAGCATTGGCAAACGAGCATTTATTATCTGGTTATCAAATGTCATGTGAATTATCATCCTCATTTATAGCATATTTCTAAGATAGAATATCTAATTCATCCACACCTTCGATTTGAAAAATAACATATCAACATAAATAGGTGTATGAAATTGATCTAGAATTCCTAAAAGGTGTTTAAGAATTGGAACTAGTGGAAAGATGTTGAGGGAAAAATAAAAGGAAGAGAACTTACGAAATAGGTGGAGAATTGAGCGAGAAAACTGACAACGAGTGTTGTCCTAGAGAAGAAATTAGCAAAGATGAGGATGTGGTAGGTGGCTAAGGTAGCAAAATACAGATGTAAGAAGGTTCCGCCGCTTGTTCTCTTCAATATACAGACTCAACATTTGAAGAAGAATAGGATAAAGCACTCCAAAAAAGAGAGAAAGAAAAATTATCTCCAAATAACATAAACCAAAGCAAATGTCCCAAAACCAAATTCTCTGCAACATACTTATACTAAAACAAATTAAAATCATAATTCTAATTAAATTTGACAATAGCCAACACGCCAGAAAGTCCTGCTAGTGGAGTTCACAAGATGGGAGTCCCTCCCCATCTCATCCCACATACATTCAGATCATGGGATCCATTCTTACATTAGTCAACTTCTTACACCTACAAAAAATAAATTTTCATAAACTAGTCGTGTTTTATCGTCATCTAATCATTAGCTTCAATTCAATTATTGCACCTTTAACTACTATCTTAAAAGCAACAAAAAATCAAATGAGCTCATATCGCCATAAAAGCATTCCAATTTATCTAATGATGGAATGATCGGAGATCTCATGCTTAACCTTCATAAATTTACAGTTTTTTCAAAGTATATTATATGATTCTTCGAGAGAAGGAATTGGTGGTACATTAGGTTGGGGAATCAACTCATTGCTTATTTTAATGAGAAAATTTATGCAACACAAAGGTATTCTACTCATAATGATGCATTAAAAGTTGAAGTGCAAGCCTTATAGCATTGACATTATTACCTTATTTATCAAGAGTTTGTATTATATACACACCACCTAGCTATGTGGAATGTAAAACATCAAAAACAAATTGAATGTTCATCATGGAAAATAAGTTGCACTTAAGCAAGAATATAATTTTAGTCTTGAACATCGTTCTAATGTCATGAGTAAAGTTTTTGGTGAACTAAATAGAATTTTTATCTTTTTCATTCTTAAAAAAGTGCTATGATTTAAGGAAATAAAGGATGTGACATCGGCTAGTCGGAAAAACATCAGAAACACACAAAGCAAACTTATATTAATGTAGAGAGAGGATTACAACAGAACATGACAGAAAATAACAACACAAAACACACACGACATAAGCAAACACCTCTCAGGAGTATTCCAAGGGCGGTGGAGGTTGGCGAGATGGAACTAGCAGGACAACAACATGAAGAAGGATAAGGTGGAGGGCGATAAGCAGGTTAGCAAGTTGTGAGGTTGGCGAAAGCAGTCATAAGGTGGACTGGAGGGAGGGGCAGCAGATTAGGGTGGCGGGAAGGTCTGTTGGTCGGCTGAGTGGTAGGTTAGAAGGTGGAGTAGCAAACTGGGAAGGTGGGGCAGCAGCTGGGAAGACTCGACAACACTTTGAGAGGGTGGACAGTGAGCAGAGAAGTGCAAGCAGCAATGAGAAAAGTCGTGGGAGTGCGGCCGGCGAGGGAAAACGGCGTTCGAAGAGGCTGGCAGCAAGTCGATGGCTAGGATGAGTGGAGAAGGGTTAGCGAAGATAAAAAGGGAAGACACATCACCACCTCGGAGTAGGATACAACTGGAGAACCACTACCTCCTCAGAAACAGCTTTACAGAAGAAAAAAGCTCTCCAAATAGGAAAATTGAAAGAGAACACGGCAAAGACTGACTCTTACAAAGAGGATAGTAATTTATAGAATCTCACTGTTCAAAGGAAACTTCTACACAAAAAAAAGGGGTGGGAAGGCAAGAAGAATCCAGAAAATACTTCCCAAATAAAGAAGAGTGGTCAGATTTGTGATGCATCTTCTTGGATCGTGAAATTTTGCGATGCCGCCTCTCGCCTACACGATAGTTCGCAGAGTTTGTGCCCCGCGTGTTCAGCGCCCTGTGGTAGGGGTGCAGTTACAGTCACGCGTCAGAATGACTAACATGCTCTAACTTTCATCTAAATGTCTACATCTAAAAGATGATCAAATTTGATCGACTTTATATCACAAATTGCATGGGAAATCCCCTTAGAAAGGATTAAATCTATGCATTCATTGTACTTAGAAAATATTCTCATTTGAAAGTTACAATCATAAGGAATAGTTGATTGTTTATGCTGTAATAAGAACCGTTATTTAGTAAATGAAAAGATTATACTGGCCCTCTACTTAAGAAAATATGTCACTATTAAGCAAACTTTGAGTTTATATAGGCCTTTATTTGTGGCTAATTGAACATGCCAAACATCAGTATGTATATCATATTAGGTTTGTGCAACATTGTCTTGGCCGTCATTACATATTCCTTGCAGTTAATAATTTATCCAAAATGACATTTTATACCATTTTCTGAGAATTTAAGTCTATCTCATGTGACCGCATCAATCCTCACAAAAAATTATTCACCAAAATGGTTTTTGTGCTTCTTATGCATTTGAAAGAGATGTAAGATTTCGAAATTACTTCTAAAAGACCTAATGAAAAATTTTTATGACAAATAAAGTTTTGATCTATTTTTCATTCATAGAATGATGGGCGAACAAAAGTTGTACATAAGAAATTAAAAAAATTGCCACGCTATCATATTTCAAAGTTTAAGAACATGGATATTATTGCTTGGTTCGATTTGCTTGGTAATTTTATCAACCCTGTCCCTAAAAATCGGCTTTTTAAATTTTGCATGGGCCACAACCAACAAAGCGTATAAACCTCATACACATTACAATTCTACTTCATGTGCATAAATTTTATTTTGAAATTATACAGTGAAGTGTAAGAAAAAAGTATAAAATATGGTAGATGTTTATTAAAAAATTATTACAATACAATGAAGGACGATTATGTGTTAGTTCATATTCGCCTCGAACAATACTACATGGCACATTTAAGAAACTTAATGCATGAGCCTCAAAGTATTAAATAAATTTGGACCATCTGCATATTAGAATTAATATCGTATAAAATATTTTTGAGTCTCTAAAGCTTACAGAAAAAATCTTTGTAAATGGAGTTTTTGTGTCACAAACAACAACATCAGATAACACCTATCCCAGCCTATAGATGTTGAGCAAATTCTGTCATATGAGGTTATGTAGGATTTTTCAATCTGACAATGTTATTGTTCGATGGAGGTCATCCACCATCAAATGACTATTGAGTGACTCATGATGTGCTGCAGAAAATCCATCCTAAGTCCCAACATTATGAGGGTCTGTTGTTTGGGACAATTTTATGTTTGAGTTGTATTTCAGACCACCACCATAGCTCTGTTTCGAGAATTATTTTCTCGCTGCTTTCTATAACTTTTTTGCGATAGAAGTTGATTTTTACAATCAAATCTATTAAAGTGTGATGGTTGTAAGAAAAAAACTATTATCCAACTATTTGAAAAAAAAAAGATAGCTTTTACCGCATCTTTTTAATTTTTTTTTTTCCACCACAGCTTACCTTCACTTTTACGAAAAAAAATAATTATAATAATAACTGGCCAAACGAACCCTAAGCAAACATCTTTAGCATAACTCTTAAGAGGAGAGTTCTTCATATTTTAGAGGAGTTGATGACAGTTTTCTAAACAACTTAAATTTGACAAGGATGAATTGATTGATTAGATGCTTAACCATTTTACTTGGATAATTTTATTTAATGAGCATTTGCCTTTGTTTCATTAGGGTTTAATTTCTACCTTCTTAATTATAATGTTTTATTTCCTAATTTTTCTTGTTAATTTATTCTGTTAGCCCTAGTGTTCTGTTCATTATAAATGAGACCTCCATGCGAGGCTGAGATTATTACTGGTTGAATGAGAATGTAGACATTCGAGGACTCCATTTTTCCTCTTCTTTCCATAAGAAATTGTAAAGTAGTATATTTTAAATAAAAATAAAAAAAAATTAAAAACACAACTTGATGGCACATATTTTATGTGGAACGAGCACAAGAGAAACAGTTGATTAACTCATAAAGTGTGGAACGCAAATAAATAATGCAATCATGCAATTAATGATCTCAGGAAAATTATGTAGGACAGCATTTCTCACCCACATACCAAAGAAAAACTCAACTTCTTGCCAGACTTGTTGTGCGGAGCTGTTCTCTATATCAAGCTGAAGAAAAAAAAACAGAAATCATTCAGAAGTAACCATGATGATATCTATATCTTTAAAAAAATAATCCATAAGTTGAAAGGCCCATGAGCATGACAACAAGAAGTGCTGGAGAGCAATTGAATCCGATGTAAGCCACTCCAACATGGATATATCTGAAACCAATACTCTGCATGATCTCTCTTTTTCATCCTCACTATTTCAATTTCTCAATATCATATTGTTATTAGGGATGGTCTTCTATTTTATCTTTTTATAGCTTTTATTCAGTACTTTTAGTTAATTGAGGGTATTTTTTTAATTAAGATCTCTCAGAGTTATTAGTGTCTTCTATAATATGAGTTATGAGTCCTTTTTTGTGATTTTTGTGGCGCATGCGTCTTTACCTGAACCGTTTCAGTCCCGGGTTCTTGAGGGCCGGTCAGCCCTCTAGTAGTCATGGGATTGCCTGGAGTGGGCCCACTACTAGTTATCAAAGATTATATATGTGTTGTTGTTCATATTTAGGGTTTAGTTGTGTGATTTGCTTTAGGATAGCTGCCGCAGTCGCTTTTTCCCTCTACAGTTTATATCATAGGGTTCCAAGTTGAACTCCGGCTGTTATCTGGTCTCCAGATGCTATTTATCCTCCCTAAGCCTTTCCACATCCTCTCCCGCATTGATTCCCTTCACCCTCACCGTTTCCCCCTTGCCAACACCTAGAAAACAGCGAAGCTGCTATTTCTACCCTCCATCCTTGCTACCACCAACCAGAATGCAGCAAGTTGCTGTTTTTTGCTCTCCATCCCTGTTGTCACCACCCAGGGACAGCAGCATAGTTTGCTATCCTCCTCCCTCCAGCTTGCTAGCCACCTCCTTGTTACCACTGGAGGTCCACACCCCCAAACAGGCATCACCTACACTCTAGGTCCAACCCTATCACCGGTGTTGTGTTGTTGTTTTATTGCAATCTCTGATTTTCCTGCTGTTATAATTCCAGATTTTGAATACAGTAATAATATTTATTTTCAGTTGGGTGTTTGTTAAATTTTGATACATTTGGTACTAGAGTTATCCCAACTCTAGTTCCAACCTAGGGTGACCTCAACAAACCAAACCATAGCCAAATCTTGACTTAACCCTAATTACCTTGCTGATTTTCAAAATCAACCCTACTTTTTTTTTCTCTGCACCCTGAATCAGTTTCTTACATCATATTTCACCTCCTGAACCTATACTCTAGCCCTGCCACAAGGAGACAAGGGTCAGAATCGATCAGAACTTATTATGGAAGAGTTGCAGCGAGAAATCCACCGACTTCAACAAAAATTACTGAAATTGAGTAAGACACCCATTGAGAGATCATTGTTGATCGTGATAGTGAGATTCGAAGAGGAGAGGGAGACGCACGTCTGAACCCTTTCTATAGAAATGATTCCAATAAAGAGAAGGACAGGACATGACATTTCAGGATTCAATAACAAAGGAGGCTGAGGAATAGATTGATTTTTGGAGGACATGTTGATATAGGAGTAAGGTAGACCTACAAGATTTCGAGAGGTTAATGAATTTGAATGACTTAATTGAGTAATTGTAGACAATTCAGATGATTATTTTAGTAGAAAGAAGGCGCCAACTAATAGGAGAGTGAATCTTGCTTCCATAAAGCTGAAGAAGAATGCCACTTTGTGATGGGAGAATCTGAGGAGAGCGAGGCAGAGAGAAAGTAGGAACAAGAGCACTACTTGGGAGAAGTGGAAGAAGGAGATGCAGAGGAAGTATCTACTCCCATATTACCGCCAAGACATGTTTTTGAGGCTACATCACTTACATCAGGGGGAGTTGTCAGCAGAGGATTTCATAACAGAGTTTGAGTAGCATATGGTGAAATGTGAGCTGAGGGAGCCAGAGGAGAACACAGCAAAATATTTGGGAGGCTTGAAATCAACCATCAGCCATGTAATTCACGTTCAGTCTTGCTGGTCATTGAGTGATGTTCAGACATTGGATCTAAAGGTGGAGAAATAGCAGAAGCAAATCATGACCCCGCCATCATTCAGACAGTCACCCACAGTAGGAGCCAGTAGGAGTATACATGAGGAATATGTGAAAACTATCAAGCTAGACGATAGAGTTGATCAGAGTGGGAAGAAGCTCAAGAGGAGCAGTACACCCAACACAATGACTACAATAAAGTGTTTCAGATGTCATGGGTTCAAACATATCAGCTTCAGTTACCCTACTACCAGAAAATGTCTTTCACTAAGCAGAAAGCCTTAAAAGAAGTGGAGTGGTACTAGAGACATCGAAGATAGTGAGGGTGAGCAAGAGTACCAGCTTCCAACTGATGAGGGAGAAATGTTTGAGATTCAACTCGTCTTTCAAACTAAGGCTACAAGAGAGCAGCAGTGGCTTCGTCACAACAACTTTTATATCTGTTGCACTGTGAAAGGAAAGGTGTGCAACCTTATCATTGTTGGGGGTGGTTGTCAGGATGCGGCTACACAGATAGTGGATAAGTTGAGCTTGCTACTAAGAAACATCCTTAGCCATATTCACCAACTTAGTTGAAGAAGGGGAGCATGGTTAAAACTGACAGGAGATGCCTCGTAGAGTTTTCTATTGCGGATTAATAGCATGATCAAGTGTGGTGTGATGTTGTACCCAAGAACACCTCACATCCTGTTGAGAAAACCGTGGCAGTTTGATCACAAAACTTAGCATGGTAGATTCAAAAACATTTACTCTATCAAAGATGGAAAGTGCACAGTTCTCCTACGGTCTGCAAAGTTCGAGATTATAGCTACTCTTGCCATGAGAGATATTAGTGGGATCAATTTTAGTGATGTTAGAGTATAGTGAGACAGAAGAACCGATACCAGACATAAGGCAGCCACTAGAGAGACTCTCAAGATATCCTGGCCAACAGCTTATCGCCAAGGCTCCACCATTAGGGGAGGTTTAACATGTTTTTACTTCATAGAGAAATGAGTCAACTTTAAGCTACTTTTTAAAGGACTGTGGAGTATACTTGGCATGAAATTTTCGTTCAGTTCAACGATGTACCCACGTATGTTTTGACAAATAGAGATAGTTACATGCAATCCGAAAAACCACATCAGATGTCTTGTGGGACAATGCATCTAACAGTTGGATACGACAGTTGGATTCAAATGCTTTTAAAGACTCAGTCAAAAGCCCTCCAATTTTGGGAGATTATAACATTTCCACTACCTTCAATGTGATTAACTAGCTCTATACTATGAGGAGATAGAAGCTTCGGCGGATAAGATCATAGCTCCCCAATATCAGGAGTCTGATGCGAGCATCCGTATCTGAATCAGATCGGTCCAATATTCCCAAGGGTTGACCGGTCCTCTAGTCATCTTTAGATTGCCACCCAACTGGAGTGGGGCCAATTCCTAATTTTCTAGGACTATATATGTGCTTTGCTGGTGTTTAGGGTTTAGTTTTGTGTGATTTACTTTGGGAGAGCAGTCAGAGTCTCTTTCTTCCTCTACGGGCTATATCCTAGAATTCTAAGTGGTGCTCTGTCTGTATCTTAGCCTTCATGTGGCATTTATCCTTCCTAAAACTTCCCTCATCCTTTCCTACATCGAGTGCCTTCAACCCCGTACTTTCCTCTTGCTTCAATCACCCTAGAAAAAAGCAAAGCTGCGGTCAGTTTTTACTCTCCCCCTTGCTGCTACCTTCCAGAAGAAAGCAAACAGTTGTTTTTTCCCCTCCACTACTGCTGCCACCACCAAGGGACAGCCGCCCTGTTTGCAGTTCTTACCCTTTCAGCACGCTAGCCACCTCCTTGCCACCACCCCAGAAGTCCACACCCCTAACCGTCATCGCCTATGCCCTAGGTCCAACCCTAGTTCTAATGTTGAGTTGTTGTCTTGTTGCAATTTTATGATTTCCCTGTTGTTGTTGTGATTCCAGATTTTGATTCAGTGAAAATATTTCTTTTCCCCTTTGGTGTTTCCAGTATCATTTTGTTTTGTTTTGAAGTTAACCTTAAGGGAGAGGATAGGATTTCCCTTGGGTTGGATTTCCCCTTGTTTAGGAGATGTGGGAAGGAGGCAACCATAGTGGGATCCAAGCTCTTGCCAAGATTGGTTTCTTAGAATTCTTAGCCTTTCTCTTGTGGCTGGCCGATAGAAAACCAGCATTTTTCCAGCAATTTTAATGACCATCAACAGCAGAAAGAATGGAGTGCAGCAAGTTCTATAATTCTATGCGTCCACGGCCATGTTTCCAATCAATGGCTTATTGAAGAAACAATAAAAAACTGCAGTTCTGCTCCAACATAATACCTTCCCAGCAGTTCTCCTGTTTTTCATTCTGACTTTTTACTGTAAAGCAATTAATCTGGATAGCAGATCACTGTTGTTTGCTCTTTCGGTTTATTTGTAAGGCTGCATAAAAGAATTGTACAAGAATTCTACCCTACCCCCTTTGATTCATGCAGCCCTTATTTTCTCCAACATGTAGAAGAATTTCTACTAGAAATGAATGGGAAACAATAGTATGAAGCCAGTAAATCATTTAAAGTAGGTTAACAATTCTAACTGAATCATTACATTTAATTATTGTGAAAAATGTACTGCTTGCTTCTTGTATTGGTTTAGTGCAAGAGAATTCGAAATTTGACTCCAATTCATAGAACAGAAGCACGTTGCCATTCATTTTTTGAATTTGAAAACCAACCCAATATCAGGATGCAAGAAGAACAAATTGTAAAGACTCCAACCAGTCCGTCAACAGTTGACCCTGAACCGAGGGTTATTTTACCATTATCTAGTGATTTCCTTATGTTTTCAAAACAAAGATTAGTATTTCTTGTATAATTACATTTCTTGTAATATAACATTCTTCATTGTTAATGTATGTACAAAGTCCAAAAATAGTCCCCGACTATTTACATGATGTCATTATAGTCCCAAAGTTCATAAAAGTGCAAATAGTCCCCAAAACTCTATAAATTATGGCTGAAATAATCCCAATGGAATACT